CTATAGCGACCATCTGCCTTCATTGAAAGTTCCCTGGTGCCATTTTCATGGGTGGCAGACGTTAGAATATTGGGCGGCTCGTAGAATGGATTCTCAAACTTGTAATCCTATAAATCAGGATTTACCAAACACAATAATTTTCCCTCTGACTGTTTAAAGAAAGTATATTGTCGCTTTCATCCTTTTGAAGAAAGTGATATTGTCCCAGTTCATTAAGGAACTGATTAGGCAAACTCAAGGTCTATAAAATATATCTAATAGTGGATGCACCTCCTTACCACGTAACGGTCAACAAATCTAAATCACAACTCTTATGAACAACGCATGAGGTTTTTAACGAATTATTGATAATCAAGAAGGTCGTATCTCTTGTTGGACTTAAACCCTTATTTCAAAAATGCACAATACGCCCATGCCGCAGTGTCCCTCAAAGAAATGAGAAATGCACAACACAAACGTTGATTGTTACCACGATGGTTTAAAGGCTTGATTTGTAAGTTAAGTTAATAAAAATTGAATGTATTATCAATAAACGTCACATTTTCCAACCTGACAAAAGGCATAATTGCTCTCTTTCTTTGGTGCACCAAGTCCAGAAAAATGAAGCCTTCCTTGCTCCGTAAAATTCCAAACCTCAGGTAGCAAATCATAAGCAAGCCAGTTCTGAGGAGAAGGACGCAAGTAACAGTCACAGCATTAAACGTCTTTCCTTATGGTTTTAAGAAAACTTAAACTGACGGTGAGAACCCTGAGAAAAATTCGTATCTGCAGTCTAGGAAAGAAGCAAAATACCATGACCTACATTTAACACTATTCTGACCGGGCGTTTTTGGGCTTCCTGGGAATTGGAGGGGGAAGGGGCCTTCGAAGTCCCCCTTCGGGAACTTTATAACCACTCATGAGACCGCCACTAAGATTACACAAAATAGTGTAATCATCATTCCAACAAGTAGGTGAACGGTTTTAAATTTATTCAACATTAAAGTTTTAGAAGGCCTCAAAGCCACCGGGCTGAATAAGATTTAAAAAACAATAGATAAATAAATGAATAAAAAACGGATAGCTTTCATGTGACATCACAACACACTAGTGAACCCTAAAGTTTCGGCACAGAATGTATTAGGGAATTGACGAGGATAGTTTATATGCGCGACTTGAAGGAAACTTTCTTTCTTTTCAAAAAAGCCTGCACATGCGCAGCAGGCGGGATATTTTGTTAAGGCTGAAAAGCCGCTCTATGAAAGAACCCCGCTGCCTGATCAGCGTCCCCTTTTTTTTTTTTTTTTTTTTCTTTCACTTCCAGTCCACCCCTCCACCTTTTTCGTCAGGCTGTCTTTGCAAAGCTAATTCATAGTTTCACGGTTTTAAAACATTTATGGGTTAGGTATTACAATAATTCAGTCCTAATATAATTTTTATGTAATTTATAAGGGGAGGCCAAACTAACCACCAGGTTTTTAATTAGCTTCCATACAATCAGATTTAATTTTATATTTAATTGATAACAAGAAAGGACAAAGAAAAACGTTTTTGTCGAAGACTGGGCTAAATTTTTTAAAACTCACCACTTTAAGTCCGGTATGGATACCGTCGAAACTCATAAACTCTCTCAAGCAAACAACGAAGCCGTCTGCTTTGACCTCTTCTAGCCAGATGTTCATGGAATCAAAAGGACGGTTAGAATGTTTATGTTGAACGGTTACAAACACTTGAGGTTTTATCTAAAAGAAGAGGCAAAATCACCCCATAAGTAGCTTAAATATGATTATCGACCGTTGCCCCGAAAAGGGCCGGATTAACAGTGACTAACTTTATGACAAGCTCATGGCCATTATAGCTTCGCAACAATTGTTGATTGGGGAATTCGAAATAATCAAGTATCGACTTCATTGCGGCTTTGAAGAGTTACTCGGTTTTGCATGCGGCGATTTGCCAGAATAAGGAGGAGATTCTTGAAAAGCAAACAAAACATAGGAAAAACGGACGATTCATATAGTGCTAAGCCCTTTTCTTGTTAAAGGGGATATGCCACGATGATATTGCTGCTTTAGGCCAATTCTGTGCTGAAGTAGTCTCTGTGTCCATTTATCTATGCATTAAATGTTCCCGCAGAGCCACGAAGAAGATATCAAACAACTTTCATCAAGGAGCACTATAACCATTACATTTTTTGGTGATTTTTGTAGGCATAGTATTTAAACAATCTACAAAACAAGGCTATTTTTTGGAATTTTACTGATGGGAAGTAGTCACGGGCGTTTTAGTTATCTTTTCCCTTAAGGTTGAAGTTGAGTTATCGGTTTTTCATGAGTAATGACTTTAAAACTAAAATTGAAGACTAAATGAATGAATTGGATAACATCGCGAAGTTACCTGATTCTGAATGCTCAGCGATATCTTCTTGCATTGTGTTCGTGACGTGAATTCATTAAATTCCACGATCCCTGAGTTTATGCCTTGATGCGAACCTTGAAATGCAAGCCAGTTTATAACAGACGTCCCACCAGAGCCACTTCCTGCTTCTCGCACGCAGGCTTCAAAACCTGTTGTTGACACCGACTTCACCCAAAGAGACGCTGGGTCGTGGATTTTAACATATTTGTTTCCGTGACTGAGCGTCGCGAACACCTTTACATCTCCCGAACCCTGGAATTGAGTTTCGAAAGAAACGGCTTGGCAGCCATGGTTGTTTTGGGAAGTGTCGGTAATATTTACCTTCCCAGCTTGAAAGACCGCCCCTTGAATGTAAAAAATAAAAATAATAAAAAAAAACATGATAGTGATATACACAGTAACGATAACGGTAGCGATAACGATAATGACGATGACGACGACGATGATGATGATGATGATGATGATGATGATGATGATGATGATGATGATGATGATGATAGACCTGCCAGATGGTGCGGAAGGGGCTATATGGGGGGCTGCATATATCTTGGCAATTAGATTAGATGAAAGGCAAGGTAACAGCGGAATACATCGGAAGAGAAATTAAGATGGTTGCGTAGATCCAAATTGAATGGCGGAAATCTTATTAGTGCATCAATGCCTAGGCTGTAGGTTTAGTAAGCTATAGTGTAGGTATCGTGGATTGCATGAAAAAGAAAAACTAGGACGATATTGGCAGTGAATGGCTGTTTACACAACAAAAGTAATGTTGCCAGATTGTATCTACCGAGAAAAGAAGGGGGAGAGGGTTGATTGGCATTGAGGAGTGTTAGAAGGAGAGAAAATTGTTGCCTGGCTACCACAGAGATATCACGAGTGGATGCTGCATGGCTTTGAAGGAGAAGTTGTTTGTTGAAGAAGAGAATCTTCAAGACTACCAAAAAAGAAGGGAGGAGGAGCAAGTCAGGAAAGGGAAGCTCCACAGGGAGAATTTGCTACGAAAACTTCAGGTGTGGTTGGAGAGGAGTCCTGTGGATGTCTCAGGAATGGTTTGTTAAAGATGGGAAAAGAAGGCAAAGCAATGCGAAGGCCTGGTATGGAAGATTAAGTTTGCCCGACATTTGACATTTTTTGAAGTACTCAGTTATCAGCCATCAATTCGTACTGCTCACGTTTCGCGGAATGTGGTGTGCCTCTAAGCTGTTGGATGCAGCTGAGAAATGAGAAGACCAAGAAAACACCAGGGTGCTGGAGAGAATCGCCCAATAATAATGATAATGATAAAAATAATAATAATAATAATAATAATAATAATAATAACAATAATTATAATAATAATAATAATAATAATAACAGCAATAAATTGATAAATGTTAATCGTTAATTATTGGTTAAGTATGCACTTGTTGACCTAACCACCAGTTTCAATAAAACCCTTTACATTTCAGTTACTAACGAAAGTTTAAAACCTTAATAAATAAGAAAAAGAAATCAAATAAATTCTGAATGCAACAATATCTATTTCTGGACAATATATATATATTTTTTTCTGACTGTTTGGTTACCATTCCCCATTTTGCTATCTTTCTCATATCACCCTAAAATGATGCGATCCTCTTATTTGGAAATTTTTTGCTATGTCATGCAGATCAATTTACCATTTTTTCCATCTGGATCAATTACATCCCATAAGTGGTTTACTTCCTTGAAAGTGGGCCTCACGTCTCTTAGAACGTGCTTCAAGTTTGATATCGTTGTCGATAAATTCCTTTTTTGGGGGCCCTGGAGAGTATTTTGTCAGCTTGATATTTTTGCTTATTCAAGACGAGTAATCCTGCATAAGGTTTTTGTTGACGCACGTCTTCAGAGAACCAAAGGAAGCACATTTGGACGCGCAACAGGTCTAATCCATCTGGATCGATTACACCCCATAAGAGGTTTACTTCCTTGAAAGCAAAGGTTGAGCTCGAGCCTCACGTCTCTTAGAACGTGCTTTAAGCCTGAGATCGTCGTCTATAAATTCCTTTTTGGGCGGGCCCCGGAGAGTATTTTGTCAGCTTGATATTTTTGCTTATTTAAGACGAGTAATCCTGCATAAGGGTTTTGTTGACGCACGTCTTCGGAGGCCCAAAGGAAGCACATTTGGACGCGCAACAGGTCTAATCCATCTGGATCGATTACATCCCATAAGAGGTTTACTTCCTTGAAAGCAAAGGTTGAGCTCGAGCCTCACGTCTTCCTAGAGCGTGCTTTAAGCCTGAGATCATCGTCGATAAATTCGCTTTTGGTGGGCCCCGGAGAGTGTTTTGTCCGCTTGAACGTGCTTTAAGCCTGAGATCGTCGTCTACAAATTCCTTTTTGGGTGGGCCCCGGAGAGTATTTTGTCAGCTTGATATTTTTGCTTATCCAATACGAATAATCCTTCATAAGGTTTTCGTTGACGCACGTCTTCAGAGACCCAGAGGAAGGACATTTGTACGCGCAACAGGTAGAATTATTGCCTACAAGGTTTTCAAGAAGTACCGGAGAGAAGCCTCCCACTTCCCAATTTGCTTGAAGAGATTTCACCCATAAATATCCCGCACCACTAGTTGCTGCCCTTGTCCCCCCTCCCCCCAGGATGCTCATGAAAAATTGTCATCGTAGATAAAGAAATATCATTGGGGTGCTCGAGAAAACCATGAAACGTGCAGTCTGCACCAAATTTGTATTGGTCAGATTGCAGTCAATTTTCAACCCCCTTAACAAAATTTGCCAACAACCATTCTTGTTTGATGAAAATTACCATAAATTCGTAATTCACCAGTACAATAATCGATGGTCATTTCAATAACTTACCACTGGTAAAATATAGCTGCAAATAAAGCACCTGAGCGGTAAGGAAAGCAAAGAGTGGCTTGCTCATCATTGCCTTAATTCTTTACGGCTGTGTATTTGATATTACCTCTCCTCTGTTGTAAATGCGTATATGGACACTAGGCATCTCTAATTAAACCTTCTCGGTTTTGGAATGAGGAAGACTTACACCAGTTATTTAGCACCTATCTCTCCAACGGGGTTAAAGGGTCGTCGGACCATGTGAGCGTTTTAGCGTATATTCCGCTGGCGTTGTCGACATTGTGGAAAATGATTGGCTGGGGTTCGACAACTACTTACAACAATGGTCCTTGGGGATAAACGTCAAGCAACGTTGTTTAACCTTATCCAGTGAGCTTAAACCTTTTATAATCAGTATCCGTTGGCTAAACACTTTCTGGAAATAAACAAACAGGTACACTAGGTATCGCAAATTGTCTTGCTAAAAATAAGGACATTTTCTCTTCTGAAAATACAGGTCATGTAATTCGAGGTCTTAGAGCACAGAATATACTCGTAATAATGGCCTCAATCAACACAACGATGCGTGGAAGCTCTGCAGTTGCCAAAATTAAGACACTTAAACTTATCAGACTTGGAAAGAAATAGGAAGATATTCGAGTACATGATTCCGCATTCTCCCGCTTAAACGTGATTAAAGGAAAGCTGATGTTTGTTATCTTAAAAATTGACCGACACGTACACCGCTTAATACAAACAGCTATGGACTCTGGCCCTGTTACGACACCGACTATACCGTACATCAGGGGTACCTCTGAAACTATTGCCCGTATATTACAACCTTACAATATACGTGTTGCACATAAACCGATAACCACTTTACGGCGACTGGTTACTAATGTCAGGGACAAAGACAAACCGGAGCACAGACAGGGAGCAGTATAAAGATCAAATGCTGCGACTGCCAGGCTTCTTACATTGGTGAAACCGGCAAAACCTAAGCACGCGACTGACCGAACACTAACGAGCGACGAGGAATGGGGACGTCAACAATCACATTGCTGAGCAACATTTACAGACAAAACATCAAATTGACTGGGACTCTGCGACATGTATAACGTATTCTACAGACTACTATCAACGTCTCACTTTAGAAAGCTCAGTGGTTTACTAACTTAGAACAAACGCCATTGAATCGTAGCCAACAGTTACCAGCGCCGTACAAACGACTTATTGACGAGATCAAGCAAAATTAACTACGAGAGAACGACTGGAGAACTGACAATTTAACTAACAACAGACCACTGTTTAACTGTGACAACAGACGGATCGAAACGCACCAATTACTGATTACGAGTCTTCATAGCCAATACCATTACGGCTTAACTGACAGACGACCAATAACGTCGCGACGTAATTGTCAGATCAATAGCCAGAGTATAATACCATCAACTGACGTGATACAACTCACTTGGACTCTGAAGATGACTACCGAACAGGTTGTCGAACGTCAGTCACTGTCAACAACAGTCCTATTCAGGACTACGTTCACCCGGACGATCAAACTCAACCTACAAACAGCTATGCTATTGCTTTCAAGTCAATTTTCCTTAACAAAGTACGTAGGTTGCAATTACGGTTCTAGAAGGGAATAATTTTTCAAGCGACAGAATAAAAGTCTCACTGCAAACGGAGCTAAGGCCAAACTGATAGGCTTTTAGAATTCAGAGGACTTGATGTCCACCTCCATAATTCTTCATAAGATACTCAGCCTCATTCATTAATTGATAAATAATGTATTCACTTATGTCTGAATGGGTTTTAGTCTTCTTTGCCAATTATTCACTTCCGCTACGGACCAAATATCTTCTCACACTACACCAGAGTGTGGCACAGAACCTATCAGATATGTAACGCTCCACTTCCGAGATCGGTGTGGCGCAGTTACGCTCCGTTACAGAAAACGCGCCCAAATCACCGTTCTTGTGTGTGAACCGAAGCCCGGTATGGTTTTGGTGCCGATGCAAAAAATATCCGGTATAGTGTGAACATACCTAAATCAGATGCAATGACCTTTATATCCGGTAAAATTCATTTATTCAACGTAAAAGTCAGTGAAAGGATTTGAATTCAGCCTCAAGTGAAATACGGGTTTGAATGTCTAAAACAATAGAAAACTAGCTGGGATGATCTACGGAAATGCAGACCACAGAACCGTGGAACTTAAAGAAATGACTGTTTCCAACTAGAGGTAATCATTGATTACGGATCCACATTTCGTCATTTACAGAAACGAAATCGAGTCGAAAGGAGTCCAGGCTAGTTTCCCGGCCGATGTGTCCCTGATAAAATTAATAGGGGCGGCTAATTATGATTTGCAGTTGCCCGTGTATAGCTCAAATTTTTTTGGTGCTGCCTTAAACTCTGTGCCAAACAGTAACACCAGATTAGGATGCGTTCTGACGAACGCGACAACTCCGTTGGGGTCCAGAACAAGCCTTTGCTTCGGTTAACATGATAAAGTAATTAGTTACAATTAACTGTTAACATTTCCGGCCTCAATCGCATACAATAACTCGCGTTACCAATGGCTGCAAACATAGCAGCCACTACACTCGTGCGTAGTGGCCCCGCTAGCGCCCCGGATTGCTTGCCAGCAGGCGAAGTCCCAGCCTCAGCGCTCCATCGACCCGTGGCGCTGACTAAACGGATCGTGAAATGGAAAAATCAATTACAATTCTTTGAAACTCTATTCTATCCTCAGCCGGCCGTGCCGCATGTAGTATACGGATTTAATTTTTAAGTAAGAGTTGGAGCCTCTTGCTGATTTTTGAATAGGCTGCTTTTGAATTAACCAAATCTACATTAAATAATGAATTAAAATTATTGGAAATGGATAATAATTAACGATCCGCAAGAAAACAAAAGCAGTCAAATACACAGAAATTTGGGTTTTCAAGTTAAACATCAAATAAATTCAATCAGTTTAATTTAGGCTAGTTTAATTTAAACGCAGATGTTTCTATTAGCGTCAAATAAACTGTTCGGATCGATTCTTTGGTAATAAGTAATCTTCTGCTTTCAAGTTAATTATGACACTAAACCAGACGAAAATTAGCATACATAAGAGACAAACCTGGGCCTAAAGCTAACATTATTTTGCAAAATAAGTTTTATTTTAAAACATGTTTAATTAATGAACAAGGAGATGAATTTCGTTCCTAATGCACAAAAGCAGATGTCCTCACCGCGTGGGCCATGCATGACGTCACGTAGCTTCTTTTAACCTAGTAGAAAACATTGGTATGCCAAGAAAGTATATGCAAAAAAAATACATTTTACAGACTGATCTATTCATTATTAGATGTTATCAAAACTGATTCATGGATTTTTTATTGATCACAGTAATTTAACGGGCCACCTGTTTAAAAAGACAAGAAGGGTTTTTCAGTAAGAATATTATAGGTCTTGAGCTAAAATTGCAACCTTGAATCACTGGCATGTATGTCTCATTAAGGGTATTTCAAAGAAATATTTGTTTGTCCGCAGAAATTTTTCGTGGCACGTTTTTCATCTCAACTTGCAAATCTTTTGCTATTATTAGGGCGGCCGTGTGGAAGGAGCCGCCGCGATTGAATTCTTATAAATAGGGTGTTTCCGTATTGAATCACTCTCTTTATCAAATCAAGGCAAAGTTCTTAATATGAAAATAAATAAATTGAGGTGTCAGACAACTGAAATTAATATTTTCAAAAAAGGGCCATGGAAACAATTAATACAGGGAGGGTTGTCCAATACACCCGCACCGTAACGGACCGTATAAGCCATGTGTCGATCCGTACGGATCGAACGGATCGACAACAGGGGTGCACGGTCTGTAAAGAGTGTTTTACGGTCCGTAAATCGCATCTCATTAGTGGGACTTAGGATATTTTCATGGCAAGAGTGGTCATATACGGTTTGTCGATCCGTACGGATCGAACGGATCGACAAAAGGGGTATACGGTCTGTAAAGAGTGTTTTACGGTCCGTAAATCGCATCTCATTAGTGGGACTTAGGATGTTTTCATGGCAAGAGTGGTCATATACGGTTTGTCGATCCGTACGGATCGAACGGATCGACAAAAGGGGTATACGATCTGTAAAGAGTGTTTTACGGTCCGTAAATCGTATCTCATTAGTGGGACTTAAGGATATTTTCATGGCAAGAGTGGTTATATACGGTTTGTCGATCCGTACGGATCGAACTGATCGACAAAAGGGGTATACGGTCTGTAAAGAGTGTTTTACGGTCCGTAAATCGCATCTAATTAGTGGGACTTAGGATGTTTTCATGGCAAGAGTGGTCATATACGGTTTGTCGATCCGTACGGATCGAACGGATCGACAAAAGGGGTATACGGTCTGTAAAGAGTGTTTTACGGTCCGTAAATCGCATCTAATTAGTGGGACTTAGAATATTTTCATGGCAAGAGTGGGTATTTACCGTTTTTCGATCTGTAAGGACGGTACGGACCAACGAAAGGGGTATACGGTTTGTGAAGAGCTCTCTTCGGTCCGTAAAGTGCGCGAGGTTCACGTTAGCGATCATTGGGTCCCTATAACTTAGGAGATAAATTATAAGAGAGATATTCAGGGATGATGCTGTAAACTCGAGGTAGTGTAATTGCAAATATTATGATAATTTTACTTTGACTGTTATGTAACTCAGTGTCCAAAGTGCAATATTTTACAATCTCTTGGCAAAAATTCTATCGTAACTAACTGCATTAAAGTGTTCACTTTCTTTACTTTTTGCCCTTTTTCAGTACGCGTTTTTTCTTGAGTAACTTTTACGGTGTCTAAGTTGGCGGCCCGAAACGAATATTCCGGTTTGACCAATGGAAATGTACATTGGTTGCACAGACCCGACCCAAGCCACGTCGCGTCTGCTTATTGTACTTTTAAGCAGGCTACCGAAAAGCGGTTGTAAAGAACGGCTTGGAAACTAAAATTTCGAGGACGTTTTTGGACTTTTTACATATTTTAGGGCATGAGTTTTTCGTCATTTTAGGCCATGGAACCTAAAAATGAGCCTAGCTAGCTGTAAAAAGGGGCAATACGGAGGCAATACGTCCTAGCCGGCATGATCACATGCTGTTTACGGAAAATTCCCTCATTCATGTCAGGAAATTCTGTATTTTAAAGCCTCCCCTAAGGCATGACTAAGCAATTGAGGACATTTCTGCTATGTTTTCAATGTTGGCCGTTGGTTAGCATGCAAGGATTTTTCCCATGCCTATCGTCAATGATTTGCTCACTGATAATAGAGGGGGTGGCCCCAGAGTGGTTTTGCATTGAAATTGGCATGCAACAGAATTTCGCATGCCCTGTAAGCATAATTTGAGGTTCCGTGACCTTCTCACCCAGGCCGCGAGAAGCCTAGGTTCTAGTAATAAGTAATTCATACCCAGTAAAATCTCTGGCATGCCGGGCATGCCAAATTTTCTGGCCTGCCCGGCATGCCAAATTCTCTGGAATACCCGGCGTGCCATAATCTGGGTCATGCCGGGCATGACAAAATCGGCCTCTGGCATGCTCTCAACGCACAGGTTATAATTCCTTGAATCTACAGATAAGCCTGGCTAAAAAAAAAAGAAAAAACTAAACTGATCACAGTGCTTATCTTTTGATGTACGGTTACACGATGACGTCATTGCTATTCCTTTCATTTTCATAGATTTGGTTGTCCCAGCGAAGTTTAAATAACGAAAGCTCCAATTTTCACAAGAAAGTAAAACCCTGAGGGATTCTGCCGTAGTAATAAAACAGCGTAATTGTGGAGATGACCTGTTGGGGGATTGTAAAAACTCCTTACCCCTTTTAATGAGTCTTTAATAGGATTCCCATTTCACATTGCCAGTAAAATGGAATTGACTGAAATCAGTAAAAATAGAGACAGAGACTATTTTCATTGTATAATACAATGCATCTATGTTCCATGAAAGCTTTTAAAAATACAAGGTTATAGAATATCTTTCAAAGTTCATTACAAACTGAGCTAAGCCCCAAAATTACTGTTCATTATTCAGAATTAAAATTATGATGTTTGACAATGCAATGTGCTTAAATATAACGTTGCAATTAAAATCTCTCTAAACCAATTTTCCCTACGTTAGAAAAGCTGTTTTTATCTTGTTTCACATTTTGATAAGGAGTCTGAGATCCTCTTTCTTGTTTTGTAGGCTTGCCAGGGATTAATGTTTTTGTGTCATTACCAGTGTCTGTGTTCTTTGTTTTTAACTCAAAGTACATAAGTAATAACTGACAGTATCAAAGAATTGCTCTCTAGAAAAGTAATTATCTCCTCTTCATGTCTGGAAGTTACCTGTAACAAAAAAAAGAAATGGAATGTTAACACATGCAAGGGCAATATGAAAAAAAAAAAAAAAAAGAAATAGAAATAGAACATGTAGAGCTCAGCTTCTCTTAACATATTTTCATACTGGCTTGTTGAGTCTGTTCAAGGTCGCAACTAAATGTATTTACATTCGGCGGAGCTAAACGTAGTGGCAGTGACAGAGAATGTAAATACTTTCCTATTGGTATGAACGCACGTGAGCCGTTATGGCGTTAATTGACTCTATTGTTATTAGATATATAAGGTTTTGACAGTTGTAATGTATTCATCTCAGCTCTCGAACTATCAACTTTTAAAATGCCGTCCGATGCTGATCTCGCGCGAAGCATTTCCGAGCTCAAAGGCGAGTTTCGTTCTGGTTTATCTTCTTTAAAGAGAGAACTTGCACAAGAACACGACGCTGCGCTGAAGAAGCTCAAGACAGCTACTGCTAGTGTTCCGAAATTTAAAAAGAAAGGCAACGAAAAGCAGTTCTTAGTTAATTCTGAAGTTCTTGAACACGTTCGTTCTGCTTCGACCGCCCTTCAGGCGTCTTCGCCTCAAGTTGAAAAGGCCTTGGAAGAGTTAAAGGAAGGTGAGAAGAAGCTCTCTCATCGTAATAAGCTCATCCTTATTGCCGATTCCTCCGAAGAGGGGTGGGAAGTCGTAAACGAGTACCAGCGTCGGGATCTTGCTGATGACAGCGACGATGACAAGCGTATAAGGCAGGCGGAAGTAAGGGCTTCACAGAAACGCCGGCGTGCTCAATTGGTGAAGAAAAGTTCGTCTCTCCGTCCTCAAAAGCCCTCCACTCCGCCGGTTCCCTCGCTGCCCTACGTCGTTTCTGGTTACGGCACTCCAGTCTCTCCTTCTTATCCTGCCGTTTCTCTACCAGGTTCTAATTTTTCGAATCCGTTCGGTGCTGTCAATTGGCCTAAGGCTCACCGTGGTTCACGTGTTGGCAGTTGCTTTGCTTGTGGCAGTTTCGGCCATTTCAGGAATCAGTGCCCCGTCCTTCAGGCGCAGTTTTCAGCTAGCCAACCTGGGAAACGTACGTGATCATGGACTGTGATGTTGGTGCACTCGTCGAGGACACAGATAAGTTAGGGAACTTTGTTGAAGATGATTTTGACTTTTTTGAATATGAACAGGGTCGTAGTTCTACTATCGTTGTAGCCGGTAGGCTTAAATCCCATATTCAGTTTTGGCGTTCTATAGGTGCCAGTCAATTTATTCTAGCTGTTATCGAGCATGGGTATCGTAGTCCTTTCCACTCTACACCCCCTGTTAGTTTTTCTAGTAATAATAAGTCAGCTTTGGCGCATTCTGATTTTGTTAACGAAGCTATTTCCGAATTGTTGGTTGCCAATCGCATTTTTGAATCGGAGGTCCTGCCCCATAACGTCAACCCTCTTTCCGTTTCTATTCAGTCATCTGGGAAAAAGAGGTTGATCTTGGATCTTAGCTTTGTAAATAAGCATGTCTGGAAGCAAAAGGTCAAGTTTGAGGATCTTAAGGTTGCTCTAAATTATTTTGACAAGGGTCATTTCATGTTTTCATTTGACATTAAGAGCGGTTATCATCATGTGCTTATCTTCCCGCCCCATCAGACATTTTTGGGTTTTTCCCGGTTTTATCAGGGTAAGGTCCGTTATTTTTGTTTTAGGGTCCTGCCCTTCGGCCTCTGTTCAGCCCCTTTTGTTTTCACAAAATTTTTAGGCCTCTCGTTGCCTACTGGAGGCTGGCTGGTATTCACATTGTTGTTTATCTTGATGATGGTTTAGGGGAGGGGCTTTCACACCAGGTTGCTTTAGCCCATTCCACCAGGGTTAAGACTGATTTGGTTCGTTCTGGCTTTGTACCCAACTTCGAGAAATCTGTTTGGGTTCCTACATCAGTCCTTGATTGGTTGGGTTTCACCATTGATCTTTTTCAGAGTTTTCTTTTTGTTCCGGGGATAAAGCCCAAGCGTGTTGTTTCTGATATTGATTCCCTTTTAGAGGCTAATTGTTGCACCGCCAGGGAATTGTCCGCTCTTGCTGGTCGTATTAATTCCTTTAAACTAGCTGTAGGTAATGTTATTACATTGATGACAAAGTCTATTCATATGGCTATCGTCCTTCAGCCTACTTGGGACTCTAGGTTTCCTTTGTCCGATTCTGTCAAAGAAGAGCTTTTTTTCTGGAAAGAGAACGTTCAGTGTTTGAATGGGAGGCCCATTGGGCGTCACTTTTCATGTTCTCGTTCCATTGTTTATTCAGATGCTAGTGACCTAGGGGTTGGCGGTGTTGTTAAAGACCACCAGGGTGTTATTTGTCATCTTCCGTGGACTGCTAATGAAATGTTTCGCAGCTCCACGTGGCGTGAGCTTAAGGCGGTCTATATTTGTCCCTCTAGTTTTTCCGTAGTTCTGTCAGGGCGCGCAGTTCAATGGTTCACGGATAACCGCAACATTCCGTCCATTATTCGCAACGGGAGTATGAAGCGGGATTTGCACGAAATTTCCCTCTCTATTTTTTAACTAGTTTTGCGAAATGGTATTGATTTGCAGGTGGACTGGATTCCTAGGTCTCTCAATGAGCACGCGGATGCCATAAGTAGGATCGTTGATTTTGATGACTAGGGTGTTTCGTTTGAATTTAATTTTTCCACCATGTAGACAACATTTGGGGTCCACATTCCGTAGATCGTTTTGCCCATTCCCATAACCGCAAATTACCCAGATTCTTTTCCCGTTTCTGGAATCCTGACTCGGAGGGGGTGGATGCCTTTTGTTTTGACTGGGCGGGGGAGAATAACTGGCTTGTTCCCCCAGTGTCCCTTGTTCTCCGGGTTATTAGGCATTTGTCTGTATGTAGGTCTATCGGCACTCTTATTGTCCCCAAGTGGGTCTCAGCTCCATTTTGGCCCATGCTCTTTGGTCCCCATTCTCCCTTTTCCGTTTGCGTTAAAGAGACCATTGTTTTTACCAATGTTTCTAATATTTTTGTTCCCGGCTCTACAGAGTCTATTTTTGATGGCCCTAAATTTAAGTCTCATGTATTACCCGTCCGTTTGTCGGCTTGTTAGATTTGTTCTTCTAGGCTTAGTTTCCTTTCCGCAGTTACGTGTAGTTACCTTGTTTAGCCTATATTAAAGTGTGGTTTATTATTTTGAGTGATTTCTTCTGTTTTTTCGTTTGCCTCGGTGGCATTTATGCGGGTCTCGGTGACCTAGTTTGTACCTTCACTGATCCCGACGGGTTGTACCGTTACATTTTTGTGTGATCTCGGTCAGTTTTTGATCCTTCCAGGTCCCCCATATATATGGTCGAGTGCGCCTCGGTGGTCACTCTCTTGTTATCTTATGTACCTGTGTGATAGTTGTATCTACATATTACGCGCGTTTCCTTTTACCGCTCCTTTTTTTCTCGTGCATCTTTCCTTTTTTAACTCCTTACATTGAATCCATATGGTCTTCTATTTCTTCTGTATTTTCAGATGTTTTCGCTAGCCCTATGTGGGCTGAGTTTAACGATGTCAAAGCTCCCTCCCTACGCTGCTTAGCAGAAAAGCTACCGGAGATAGTCCTTGGTTCCAGGGCAGATTCCACTACTCTCACCTACCTCAACGGTTTTAAGCGATGGCGTGCTTGGGCCAACAGATTTCCCGAGGTCGCAGTGCTGCCTGCTACTCCGGCTTATGTTTCTTTATACCTGCTCAGTGTTCTCCAGGCTTCTAGTTCTCCGGCGCCGGTCCAGAACGCCTTCTATAGCATTCGCTGGGCTCATGATATTGCTGGTTTCGACTCTCCTACCAATCATACACTTCCCCAGAAGGTCGTGGAGTCCGCTAAGAGAAGGCTGCTACACGTTACTTCCAATAAGCTCCCCATTACACCCGAAATTTTACAAAAGTTGTTTCAGAGTCTCGATGGATCTTTGGTGGACACAAGATTCATGGCCATGGCGTTATTGGCCTTTGCGGGGTTCTTAAGATTCGATGAATTGGCTAATCTGAAGCTTAAGGATTTAGCGCTGCATGACACTCATTTTGAACTTTCTATAGAAAGCATTAAAACTGATCAATATCGCGAGGGCGCTATTGTCCCCATCGTCAAGTCTGGCACGAATCTTTGCCCCTGGGGTAATTTAGAGAAGTATTTATCGCAAGCCAAACTCACGTTACCGACATCTTCCCAAGGTGGAGACGACTATTTGTTCGGAAATATTCAAACCAAGTCTGGCTCTCAGTCCATCCGCCCAGGCTCCAAACTGTCTTATACAAGATGTCGAGAAGTTTTATTGAGGAAGATTGCAGACGTAGGCTTAGATCCTAAGTCTTTCTCTTGGCACAGCTTCAGAAGTGGCGGTGCATCTGCCGCCGCTAATGGTGGTATCTCTGATAGAATGTTTAAGCGCCACGGTAGATGGCGTTCGGAAAACGCTAAGGATGGCTACGTTGCAGATTCGCTAGAGAGCCGTTTAGCGGTCTCTATGTCTCTTGGACTGTAATTGTTTCCCGTTCTTTGTTTTCTCAGCCACTCCTTAGTTCGAGCTGCACACCCATTCCCGTCTCCGGTGAATTAAGGAATGGGTCCTCGTTACATGTGGGGTTGTATGACTTGATCTTGTTTTTTCCAGTATCTTCCTTTATTTTACTCGTAGACCGCTGTGTTTAGGACCAGAACCACTTTGGACCTTAAACACTCCTTTTTTTAGATCACGTGACCAGCCACGCCCATAATTATGCAAAATTTGGACTTTGCAGATTACACCAGTTTACTGAATGTTACCACAATCGTTTTTCCTTCCATAATATTTCATTTACAGTCAAATAAGCTAAATTAATCGGGGATTTGTGAAATGATCCATTCCTTCCTAATTATTAGATATTTTTCTCTCGTCCCAGTCTCCCTCTTAACAAGAAACGTTATAGTTTACAAAACGTAGATAATTTAAGAAAACCCCGATTAATTCCATAAATTTTGTGTCAATAGTCATTGAAAAAAAGTGAATTAAATTACAAGTGTTATTTATAAAGTGGTGTAAATTTGGATTGAAATAAAAAGTCAAAAATGGGTGTGGCAAGTCACGTGACAGAGATAATACATTAGTAACCATGAAAAATGAATGCTTATGGGGAGTAGATATTGAATTTAAAATATTAATGCGAAAGGCAAAATCCCTACTAAAACAGACCACCCCCCTCCAAATTTGCAGTGCCCCATTCCTTAATTCACCGGAGGTCTCTTAGTCGTGAATATAAATAGGAAATGTATTTACATTCGGCGGAGCTAAACGTAGTGGCAGTGACAGAGAATGTAAATACTTTCCTATTGGTATGAACGCACGTGAGCCGTTATGGCGTTAATTGACTCTATTGTTATTAGGTATATAAGGTTTTGACAGTTGTAATGTATTCATCTCAGCTCTCGAACTATCAACTTTTATTTTTATATCTTACTTTATTCATCTCTCGATTGATTTTTTACCTTTAACCCCCAGAGGTTGTGCGACCGCATCGGTTGGGGAATACGTTCCCAATTTTCTCCCATTGGGTTTTTGGGTTTTCGTATCAGGCGGCGCACGTGAATAGTTTAGCCTGAGTGACTTTATTTAGGGATATTTGTATACCATTCTTTAGTTATGATGTTGAACTTTGCATGATATTTGGACGGCATTAAACACTCAGGCTCCTTAGTTCGAGCTGCACACCCATTCCCGTCTCTTAGTCGTGAATATGAATAGGAAGGGCCTGTTTACATGGAGTGGGGGACCCCGGTCTAGTGGGTTTGGTTTCTTTTGTTTTCACGCTCTGGAGGACACAAAACAAAAGAAACTTACCCCACTAGACCGGGGTCCCCCACTCCATGTAAACAGGGTCTAATTGCCTGAGGCTAACAGACCTTGTCACGGTTTTCAACGCCATCTTGACGAGTAGGCAAACGAGTTGGAAATTACAGTGTTTGTATGAGAATCTAATGTCGAATAATTTCCATAAAACGGCTGTTCTGAAGACAATATCATTTGTAAACTAAAGCTACAAAGCAAAGGATTGTCTTAAACAATTTTGGGAGCGTACCTGTGCTTAAATTTCTCCAGAGGCTTGCTTTAGATTTTCCATACATTTGTCTGTAATTTTCCCGGGACTTTCTTAAAGACAATGTATAGAAAATGTCAAAAAGTGGTTCTAGGTCTTCTGGTGCATGTAACTCCCTGAATTTTTTTCAGTAGAATCCTTAGGGGTTAAGCTTTAGTTTACAAATCATATTTTTTTCAGAGGAGCCGTTTTACGGAAATTACTCGGCATTAGATTCTCATACAAACACTGTAATTTCTCACGCATTTGCCTACTCGTCAAGATGGCGTCGAAAACCGTGACAAGGTCTATTTCACAAGAGTGTGCAATTGAGATAAATGCATGCTAAATAAATTGAAAGAAACGTGGTTTCACATTAGTCAATTTACATTGCGTTGTTCGATGATGTTTACACGCTCTTCTACTGCGAAATGAACCTTTGCATTTGGATTTGCAAGTCAAGATTATACCGAGTTTGACTGACACTTAATTGAACAACAGTTTCATTTTTAAGCAGGTAAGGTGTGCACTCATATAAAGCCGGAATATGTAAAGGAAACTCAGCGCATCTTTTTGTGGCGATTTTCTCTCACTGCCCGTCAACTGATTAGGGGTTGCGAAGAAAAAATAAATTAGGACCAGAGGTTAAAGCCTGTCCGGTTACACCATTTCGTATGTTACCTACAGTTCTAATAAAGAGGTTATAAAATAGGATTTAAAGGGAGCGAATTTGTTTCTCAATCGGTGTATAAAAAAGTGAAGCTATCAAATGAGAAGTTTATAGAGTATCAAAATTATCAAATTAAAATCTCATATAATTAGGAAAATTCCTATACGAAAACAATGCTAGTGACATTAAATTGATCAGAAAAAATTATCAGAAAATATGTCGAATAAAAGCCTCATTGTTTGCTTTTGTTTTTGCGTAAAGGTAAATTTTTCGGCCCACAAAGCAAAGTTGAAAAAGCGACTAAATCTTAGTTTTTTACATTGTACATGTTTATTAGCTTAGTTTTCGTCCGTTTTCGAAGCTTTATAACCCAATCATAATTTTCGGGTTAAAATAGTGCAAAATCATTTCAAAAACCATGTTCATTTAAAGTAGAGCCGGCAAACGTGAACATTTTTTAATTCAAAAGTCGGACCCAGCCAGGTTGTTTAAGCTTAAAATTATTTGCATTTTAGCGTCCTATAAATTTACCAGAATCGCCTCTCAGAGGCTTACTGTAGCAAAGCATTTTGTAGTACACTCGTAGACAAGCAATGTAAGCCATAAGTCTTTGCTTGGATGAGATGTCCAAAAGAAAAATTAGTTTTGTGGATCTAAACGCACATTCACAGACTGCTTGTATTGAGTTGTTTACAACTTTGCATTGACACCTGCAGCATGTTCATTTTTTTTAAAACGAAATCCAAATCTGATTTTGGCTTTTGATTTACGGATATTTTTTGTCTCCAAAAGTGATTGTAATATCCGTTTGATTGTCTTTCAAACAGCAGTCAAACTATGCAGCAAAAATAAGTAACTTTACCATTATAGTGAAAAAATATGACCGTAGGTGCCAAAAATAATTATACTCGAGCTATAAAATTAGATCTGACTTTTTTTAGCTTTGGTTTCTATATTTTTGAAGTTTTCTCTAGTCTTCTTAGCAGCAGAAGAAGATTACAAGACATACAAACAGAAACAATCCGAAGTGAACGAGTTGACAACCACTTAAACAACCGCTTATGCCGGAGTTCTTAGGCATGCCCAACAGCAAGATAAACTGAATGCCAAAAGGCTAATTCACGGGATTTGTTTGATATTCAGGCTTTCCCTTTACCAAATTAATACTAAATTTGTACTTACAGTCTCTCGCAGAATCCATTTCTTGTCCAGCATTCACCAACATCTCAACCATACACCGCAGAAAAAAAAGACAAACCAGTGCGAAGAGACATGACGACATCGTGACGCCACAACTGCCACGCTACAACAAACTAGATTCATCGTCATCCGAAAACACTTCTGCGGAAATTCGATCGATTTCGTACGTGCTCGGGGTATCTTCGGATGACACAGATGACGTTGCTCAAAGGACTATCGTCAGCAAGGAGTAAAACAGTTTGCGAGATTCGCATAGCCGACAACAAGCGCACTGAAAAACTAAGCAAAATCTCTCTGAGAAGGCAGTCCAAATTCACCAAATCAGAACGTCTTTGCAGTATTAACGTCGTACTCTCGTACGGACTTGAACGACCTGGTAAGCTTAATTTTCACCAGTCTTTTAATGTTGTTGACCGGAAAACATTCCGACGCGATAAAACTTAAGCATGGATAAGTTTATATAGATTTATATAAGTTTATATAGATTTGCTATCTTATTGTTTAAGACGCTTTTCCGCAATCAAATTTAAATCTGGACCCAGAAATGTCAGTATCGGTTTGAAATAAAAGGATTAATTTTTGATTGCAAGTTAAGTATTCTGTTTTATGCATGAATAGTGTTGTTTTGTTGTGCTTTTTATTTATAAATCCAGGCTTCTGTCCTCAGTTTTGCCAGTCGATCCCGTGACACACATTGTGACAAACATGACTTTTTACTGGGCTGCCTGTGCGCCCAGTCATAAAATGGGCTTTCGGTCGTCGGTGTCAAAAAGTGGTCTCCCGGGGGAGGGAAGACACGAGGGTCTGGTACCGAGAAACGATGTTCTCGCAAATGGTTTCATATGAGTTTCTCTTGCACGAACCCTTGCACGGATACTTTTTGTACCTCGTCTGCGCTCCCCCTGAAAAACCCACAAAGCGTTGCGAACCTGAAGAACGCTATTTGCGTTGTTCGAAGCGATTCCATCGTGGGAGTCACTCTATAATTTTTTTATTGTTCGAGTTTAAGTCAGGTAGATGATGTTGGCGCTGGGAAACTCAGAGAAATGCTCGCGTTGCATTCAAACCGACACGCTGTTCACGGTAGGTTCACACTAAAAGATGACTGTGAGCGTCAGGTTTGGAACGCCGTGGCCGCTTCCTGAACTCAAAGAGAGAATTATCGATCGATGTAGTACAAGAGCAATTAAGAAGCACAATTTATGAGCAAGGTATTTCACCAGTTGACGACACTATTGCTGAAGACTTGATTGTAAGCCTTCGTAGTCAGTGAAGCGAGCAACTCAGTTGCCGATGAATGGCACTACGCACGTCTATGAGTGAGGGACGTGACAATTTTGCCATGTTAGAAGACTGGCTTTTCCTTTAAATATTTCCTTCTATTTAATGCAACACACGCCACTTTGGAGGTCTAAATTTCGGATACTGAGGATAAAGAAGACACGGACAAAAATAGGGACTCTGAGAATTTCGCGCACAATGCACAAGTTTAAAGCCTCACCGGAACATCCCATCCGGGAGCTTCACAGAGAGCGACTTGAGGAAAATAGGAGCTATTATTGACATAGCCTGAGTATCAGGCGTTTCTGGGGGAAAGGGGGAAAGATGGAAGCGAAAAAGGGAGAGAGCTGAAGGAGAGAAACTTCTCCCCCCCTCCCCCCTCCTTCATCAAAAATCTCCCCTCCCCTATCCCCTTAGGAAGGCCTGTTACTCAGGCTATTACTGACAAGGTTTGGTGACTGAGTAGAGCATACAAGTGTAGCCCACGTACATGATCTTGTGATCACAATTCTGTGTTTTCGCCCATTCAGCAAGCACGCTATATTGATGTCAGCATTAGCGAGTTTCAGAAACATGCCTTTGAAAGTTTTTTAGCTCTCGTGATGTTTCTTGATATTTCTTTTACCATTTTATGAAGATGTTAACTGAAGTCACCGCAAAATGGAAACTTAAAAAAGCGTATAATCCATTTATCTCGAAACATAACACACATGACTTATATATACGACCTTTATTTTCGTAAAGGTGTTTTGAATACGAACGAACACAGTCAATGTGAGGGGCAAAAACAGCATTAATATAAATGAACCATAGGGTTTTAACTAATATAAGGGTCAATTATTGTGCATTGAGATGAATCACTTGAAAAGAGAGACTTCGCTTGAAGATGTGATCAGAAGTAAACAAAGGCATAATAGTGCGTCACGTTCAGTCTTTTTAATATCGAAGGAGTCACTGTGAATAGTGTTTCCATACTTAGGACGAGTTATAAAGCGGCACAGTTATCTTCCATGAAGAAAAGTTCGTCTTGGGTGAGACAAACAGAACTGGAGCGAATTTTTAACTCGCATCGGTATCAGGTAAAAAATATGTTATCGATCGTTTCATCTATTTACATTGTTTGAAGTGCGTGCTGGTGAACGCAACATGCGAGCGAGAAGTCTTTAAACTTTTTTAGGTCTCAAAATGCAAAGGATTTTATTCCTTTAAGTTAGAGAAAAATACCATGACGAAAATCTTATAACTGAATATTTTTCTTCTTGTGGAAAAAATAATGCGTTTTCTTGTAGACTGTGGACCGCAAATTAGGATCGCACTTTTCACAAACGTGCGAATTCCGAAGTTCAGAAGCCAACCGAGGATTGCGTTTTTCGCTGCTGTCAATCATCTTAACGGACCTCTTAGGAAACAAAACTCTATTTCACGGGTTCAAAAGGTCATGGTTTGTGATTTGTGGATTTCGATCCGTTTTGTGTGTTTCTCTGTTTCAAGGTTCGTTGCTTTTGATCGTAATTATGATTGACGGCAGCGATAAACACAATTGTGAAGGTGGCTTTTGAACTTTAGAGTTCGCATGTTTGTGAAAAGCGCAGTAAAGTCTCCGTGCAGTCAGTGAGGCCCCTGGATCAGGCGGGATCAATGGGCAGTTAACTGTCTGTTTTAGTATACTTCTGGTTTTCATATAATACAATATTTCTGTCTAGTGTAAATCAGCTCATTATACTCGTAGAACGACAACAATTTTTGGAATTTCCAGTTACGTCACGTTATACTGTCACGCTATATTTTGGGGCACAGATTAGGAGAGGGGTACGTGGAAATAATGCAAATTGTTTCCTCCTTAGAATTAATGGCTAACTTGTCTATTTTTATTCATAGTGGTAGAATTTAAAAGTTATTATACAGCCCCCACTTAAAAATGGTACTCTTTTTTTTGGGTTACGAAAGTCTTTCAAAAGGGTACAATGTTTTGAATGAGTTTATGTTTCAGTCTCACATGAGGTTCTGTCGCGTGCAATGGTTGCCGACAAGGTTTTATGGTAGCCTGAGTGTGTATAGCCGCCCCCTCCCCTCAGAAAAAATAGCCCCTTGGCAGCCCAGGTAAAAATCGCCTTTCGGCGATTCTTGTTTTGTTATAATCTGCATTTACTGCCAGGCATGAAACCTGTGACTTCAAGCTCCCTAAGATATATTTGGCGATTATATGTGATTCTGAGGATATGATGCTGAAGCGAACATCAAAATCAGTCTCGCTGGGCATGCCAATTTCTTGCCTGGCATGCCGGGCATGCCAAACCAACTGGCTTCACCATCGGCATGCCCGGCATGCAAAAAACTGGGAATGAATTATCAACCCGGCGAGAGATCTGGGACCTAAGTTTATCTGGGTCAATTTTGGGCTGCGAGGGCATGAACCCATTTTTTCCATGCCTATGAGATGTTATTTCTAAGTACCAATGTTCCCTTGAATTTTGTCATGCCTCAATATATAAAATTTTCCCTCTCTCATTAATCCTCAGACTGGATGCGATTTTTACGCTCGCTAGGCATGTTCAACTGAAAATCATGCCCATATTCAGAGCGGAAAAACGTTCTGCGCAAGCTTCTGCGCATCCCTTATCGCAGGCTCAAGGCGGGCTTTTCTGTATGTTGACTGTGTTTGTTTGCTGGAGTTCTGAATGAAATGCACGAGGTGCGAACGTTTGCTCCCTGTAAAGCATTTTTATTTGACATGTTTGCTTTTTTTTCGTCGCTTGAAAATTACTTTGGATTCAGAACAACCAATGTTAAAGGAAAAACGGATCATTCCCTTAGTCTGAGTTGGAATAAAAGGTTTTGAACATTTCTTAAGAGGCGAGTATTTTTCTGATTGTGCATCCGATTAATTTGTGAGTTGATTTCGCCAGGTTGAATTAAAACCCGCTTGTATTCTGTTATTAGTAGTTATGGTTACTTTTTTTACATGCCCAGATTTATTACCTTTGCAGAACCAGCTTTATCTTTGTCTTCAGTCAAAGAACCATATTGCTGTTTAATAACGCATCAGAGTGCACAAACTTGTGCGCTTATTAAATTTTCTTGGAAAAAGAAGGCCAGCAAGCTTAGTCAAGATCATTTTTCTATTGCATAAGTAATAGTAGTCAGAGTTTTTTTCATTTTTCATTACGTAGTTTGTTTTCCAGTGCACTGTGAAAGTTTCTGTTCTTTATAAGAATAACTTTCAGTACGCAAATTGTCCATTTCGTTCGCTGTAAAGTAGAGAACGACAACTGCCGGCAGTGACTTCAAAACAATTGACTGCTTTCCCGTAAACAATTGCTGCAGCTGGATTTGACTGAGGCGAGCAAAACAAACCCTTATATGCAATTTTCTGTATTTTCTAATGATCGGCTGAGTTTAATTTGCTTAAACGAAGACCCTCGCATGGACCAGTTAAGCTTACAGAAAATAGCTAATGGTGAATCATGGCTTGGCTGCCAAGTTGCAACTGATCTTTTGCTTTTAAGATCTCTAGGTAGGTTGTTTTCGCACAGAAAATTCATTTCTTCAATGTCAGCGAGAAGTTTTTGAAATAATGTAACTTTAACTTTGTTTGAAGGAAATCCTACTTACGCGTAGGTTTTGACAGATGTTATGCGTGTTCAACTTGACAACACAAAGCAAAATTTATATATCTGCCCGAAACGAGCAAGTTTAAAAAAACTATCGTTGCTTTGAAACCGATTTTTGGGAAGATTTTACTCGATAAAGATTGAACTTTTTTCTGCCCACATATCAACGCAATAACTGCTACATTGAGGATTTTTCTTATATTTTAGTGATCTGCGAAACTACGAGTGTCCGATCGAGCGAGGGTTTTAAAATATCAGCTCGAGTGCGACAAAGTTCAGTGACTTCAAACACATTGTGGGCAAGCATTAATTTTTCTGGGCAAATCACTGTCCAAAGATATGTTTTTGTATCCACAGTGGAGCTCTGGACCTTATATATCCAGGAACTTCCTTATATGAACACATTTTGTGAATGCATCTTTAAAAAAATCGGACCTACGCATGCAGATTTCCAGTACAAGGCACGGAAATTAATGTCGTTAAATTCCGTTTTACTATGAGGTGTTCTTCGAGAATATTAAGTAACGACAAGGTTATAACCACAGCTTGCAACTTTCGAAGACAAATTGCCTGTCCTCCCCAGGTTATGAGTGGAAAGATTTTATTTTTAAGCAATAAAATATTTGAAATCCCGCCATTTTTTCAAACCCGGCCAGGGGATCTGGGCGAAAAAGTTCACGCATGCTCATTACGCTTTTCCGCCCTGAAATGCCCATACCCTTATTCAAAACAAAATGCTATCAAATTTTAGTTTCCAAGCCGTTAAAGAAAAACAATTAACTTTCTCAAATGGAAAGGGACGTTTCGGTCCGACCGACCGACGGAAATGACCGGACTAGTCAAAGTGGACCGCCTTCCAAGGTGGTCCTAAATATTCCTGTCGGAAGGAACCAAAATGGTTCGTTCCATTTGATTTCCAACCGAAAATTGCCGGAATTTAAGGCTGAATGGAAAGCGACTAATGCAAGGAACAGTCCCTATTGAAGTACCTCCTCAAAATCCATATGATTGAGCTGGACAAGAAACTGGAATGTGCACCAATGTTGTCGTTTGCTAAGAGAAAAAAAAAGGCTTCACGAAACCTTAATTTACCAATTAATGAATGAGGCTGAGTATCTTATGAAGAATTATGGAGATCGAAAAGAGTGTTATCCGTCGAGGCCGTAGGCCGAGGCGGATAACAACCTCCGAGATCTCCATAATTCTTCATATGGTACGAAAGCCGAATTCAATAATTGTTTTATTATTCATTCATAATAATTCCTAGTTTAAAAACATAGCTAAAACAAGCTTACTTGCATCGATGTTAAGTTCATCTTCGATAGTTTACGTTTAGGTTTGTCCAGCTCCGCAAATATTCTCCAAATAGCAGATGTCCCCTCCGAGTTGTCTTCTGTCTGTTTTCGCTATGTTTTTAGCCATTATTTCGCCTAGTTCCAGCTTTAGTTCTTACTCTTGAAACGAGTGAAGTGTCCGCCATTTTAGTTTTTACAACGAAAACAACTAAATCTCGTCCCCAGGTCTTCTCGGTTAACGGTGCATTAATATGTAGAAGGCTGCATTTTTGACGTCATTTCCTCGTTAAGTACAAAATTCTTTCAAATTTGGCCATCAGTAACTGGTTATGGTGAATTATGTGTGTGCTTTTAGCCAATCAGAATTAAGGAAATATTTTGAATAAATAATAAAGAAATTTAATGCCTTTCAATCCTTTTATGGAATAGAAAGCTTTAGTCCATTCATAACAAATGTAGTGGTATTCTCTAAATTACGAGTTCGCGCCTCTTGCATTATGTAATTACAGTGTAGACATACGAAGAACAGGATATAGGCGATAACTTATAATTATTGGAAGTGGATTTGAATGATCAAATGACTGCAAAAAAACAAGAACAGTTACGTGCCCAGACACAGACGCTGCGAGGGAGACTAAGACACGTGGGCTGTCAGGTTAAAGTGCACATTAAAAACTGTCAATCAAATGACAAAGCCGCAGATGCTTCATCTATTAAATTCAGAGTTAGATTCGCTAATCGGAGTTCTCTGTCGGCCTTGACGAGGAGTCAAGTTATTATTAATTAAATAAACCAGGCAAAAATTAACATATTCGACCTATTTAAAAGCTAATACTACATCGCAAAGGAAGTTTTTTTCGTTGTTGATGCTTAAACACGGACAATCTCACTGCCTGGGCCATGACTGAAGAAGCAAATAATTACTGTTCGCCTAATTTAACACACGACTGGGCTGTGATATTTATTTTGCTTAATTTTCTTTTCAGTTTGGTTGCTATCGGCGGAAATTCTACAGTTTTGTTGATCATCTACAGAGTACGCGCGCTGAGAAGTTCGTCAAATATCCTCATCGCATCGCTGGCGATTGCAGATCTCGAAGTCGGCCTTGTTGTGTATCCTGTCTACATCGCGTTAACTGTCACAAGGAAGTGGTTCAGCGCGCACTTTGTGTACAGACTGGAAAACTTTCTTTGGATTCAATGTTTAGTAACATCAACATTTACCCTCTGCGCAATTAGCATCGACAGGCTTATTGCCGTAACGTTCGCCATTCGGTACAAACAAATAATAACAAAAAAGCGGTGCTACCGAACAATCCTTTCAATTTGGATTACATCTTTGTTGTTCGGATGTTCCAGTTTGTTTTTCGAGGATAAAGGCAAGGCATCTGTTCTTTGGATTGTGACGCTTGTGCTAACATTCGTCATACCATTTGCAGTAATAATTTACTGCTATTTTCAGATATTTAAAGCAGTACATGAGCGAAAAGAAAATATCTGTCGCCTAAGTCCAATGATAGCTGCCGACATGCTAAAGAATAGGAAAGCAGCATGGACAATGGCTATCGTTGTTTCTGTATTTTTCATGACATTTTTCCCAAACGTGGTGTTCTCGGCCATAGACGTAAGTACGAGAGATTCCTGCGAGAAGGCGCTAGTTTACCGACATTGGTTATGGGGAATTCTACTTGCTTTTAGCAGCTCGGCTTGGAATCCTTTCGTATATGCTGCCAGAATCAGAGAATTCAGACGCGAACTAAAGCGCTTGTTCAAGCTATCTCAAAATTTTAGGTAACTACTATGTCTTCTTCCTCAGTTGTTTATCTCGCTCAGCAAACGCCATGAGTACAATCAAGAGCCATAATGGGACTGGTACAATCCCAACGAAAGAATCATGAACAAAACATTAAACAGCATTTTGCAAGTGCGCTCTTCCAAATTATTAGTTTAATTTTGTAAAGCTTTTCTCGCCATTTTTCTCACGAGCCCGGAATTCAAGGCTTTTGAAAATAAAATAACCAGAGATCTAATTTTGGTGTAAAAAGACATACTGTTAAACTTTATTTAAGCGATACGTTAACTTGTTTATATTTGAGGACACCAAATCGCATTCTTAAATAAAATATAGAGTTCCCCAGGAAGTCAAAAGTTATTGGTTTTTATGAAAAATAAATAAAGCCAAATTATATATGCCTATTAAAAGAGATTTCTTAAGACATAAAACGGTAAAAACGAGCCGAGCAATAAACTCCGACGTTTCGGAGTAGTCATGACTCCATTAGAATGTAATGTTTGGCAATGGCGGAGGACTGTTGTTTATGTCCTTTCACATGATCGTGCAAATGTCCGCGTGTGTAACGTACATAGCCTGCATCACACAGGTCACATTGGAAGTTATAAAGTACACACTTAAGATATACTCTTTTCTTTATTGGGAAATTTTAAAGCACGTTTAGTCTTTTCTTTGAAATTGGCAGCAGTCTCACGTTACTAGTTACTAGTTCCGTTACCTTACTGTCGGCTTAAGACATCTGTAAGTTGATTTACGTCTCATATATAATGCAAAAATTATACGCTTTTTCTTTGCAACATCAATTATTCTGTCTTGCTGTAATTGTCTCCGCCACTCTGACTAGTAACTCGCGCGTATAGTAAGGAAAGTACTTACAGTTGAAATATACAGTCAGTATGCCAGAAAAAATCTCGATTTGCTTGAACAGGGACCGCGAGGAATCGGTATAGGTAATGATGACGTTTCTACTGTTTGCGCTCGCAAGTACGAAATGGTTAGGATGACGTAAATACAGAAAATCCCAAAGGGAACGCTTAGGTAGATTTTGTGACATTTATTGTGCGGTGATACTTCGATACTATTTTGGGTTAAGAGTTTGTGGAGCAGTTTTTTTGAAAGTTATGGTCCATAAGACACTCGTTAAGCCCAGATGAAGTTATAAGGTGCCATAAGACACTCGTTAAGCGCAGATGAAGTTATAAGGTGCGTATAAATGTGTATATATAAACAAATAAAATGAACTTGTCAAAGAGAAATAGAAAAATTCAACTTCTACTTAAAATTTCTACGGTAAACAAGGTAGTTTGCCAGACACGAGTTCACAAATCTTTGATTGGAAGCCTTGCCAGATACTCCTTCTCTCTCTTTGACCGGAATAACACTCAGTCCCAAACAAGCAAGACGAGTGAACAACGGCTAGCTTATCACTAGCAGAGCGACGCATATGGACGATCACAGAAATTCGCCGACAATCAAATTCTGTGCTGACTTATTCCTTGCTAACAGTTGTCCTTCCGCCACAAAGTTTAAATAAGACTAGAATGCCGGCGCGAACGTGAATTGATCAAACGTCCTTTTAGTTTCTAAGGCTTACGTTCCGGCAAATAAAATGAACTGAATGTAAACAGTCAAAGAGAAATAGCGAAAAATTCAACTTCTACTTAAATTTTTTCTTATGGTTTAGAATAAACTATTCTCGAAACTGAGAATGTTTTGATCCAAGCTGTGTAAATCGAACTGAAACTGTGCATGGAACCTTGCATTTCCTGTATTTATCTCACCTATTGTATGGAATATGTGTGAAAATCTTCATTATGAATCGGTATATTTCAAAGAGCTACACAACGAGAAGGTATACTGTTGACCGACAATATACAGAGCGGGGGCAGCTGTAGTGTCAACTAATACTAGTTTATCATATAAAGGCGAATTTCCATAAGGCAATTCGTCTCCAACAAGTATATAATGATAGCTCCGGCTGTGATGTCATTCTTCAGTATTGTACTGCGCAGGCACGCGGTGAGCACATGGGAATTGTTTTTCGAGCAGTTATCCCGGGGACTTACCACAGCAAAACCTTAAACCAAAGCTACTGGAGGTCGCTTAGTTGTACAGGTTACGTTATTGTTTCCAGAAAGAAAGCGAAAGTGTTTCCCGAGTAAAATGCAGGTGTTTGAGGCATCTGGCCTCTACCTTATAAATTTGGTGATTTTTTAAGTCGCTCACTTCGAGGCCAGTTCGTGTGTGGCAAACGTAAAAAAGCTACTAATTGAAGAATGAAGCTTTAAAGAAGCCTTGCAGGTGGTTAATCGCGGCCAAGGAGACCCTGCAAGCACAACAACAACAATCCTTGCAACCAGTGCCTGAATGCAGTTTCTAAGGATTCGCCGGTTTTAACGACATTACAGTTTGAAACTTCACGCGCTTAACCTACGTAGAGACAAGGTGCTTGTCGCACTTTGCCGTCTTCAAGCCAGAAGATGGCTTACAATAGCTTTTTGTGTGGAGGCCGTAATCATACAAGGCCTAAATGTAAATTTTGAAAAGCCATATGTCGCAGCTGTGATGTAAGGGGACACATTGCCAGTGTCTGTAAGAAGGGCACAGTAAAGTGAACGCTCTGAATGTGAAGTATCCTTGTCTTGGGAAGAGGAGCTGCCAACATGGTGGAATGATGCGGCAGACTGATTTAGACTGCTTTGAGGATGTGTGACAGTATCCTCTGAAAAATGTCTGGGCATAAACCACTGCGTACTGCAGACGGTTTCACTCTCATGTCCTTTCAGCTAGTGGTTTTAGCTCTCATATCTATAACGTATGAGGTCTGACTTTATCGGCTCAATAAAAAATGTTGCTTGCCGTTGTACCGTTTACGGTATTCTCTTTAATGTACTTGGAAGGGTCGCAACTAGAGGTTCCAACCAAGAAACAACCAGGGTTCAGTTCAGGGTCCGGTTACAATCCGAAATTTATAATCACTCTTATACTACTACAGGACAAATTTCTGCAATTTGATTGGCTTAGAGCAGTGGTATTAAAGCTTAATTTGAGATACCTACATGTGAAAGTTACAACCCTTTTGTGGGTAGTACTATAAACAAATAATAGCATGATTTTACTTGATATTTTTGCATAAATACCACTCGTGACATTTCAAAATTGTCTCAAATTTCACTCGCCTAACGGCTCGTGAAGTTATGTATAACAATTTTGAAATATCACTCGTGGTATTTGTGCCAAATATCACTACAAATCATGCTATTACCTATACAAACTGTGAGAACCGTCACCAAATTGAGCAAACCATATAGAAAATAACCGCTCAAATAGTTAAAAGAAAAGAGGGTATGAAATTATGTATAACAATTTTGAAATATCACTCGTGGTATTTATGCCAACTCAGATCACTACAAATCATGCTATTACCTATACAAACTGTGAGAACCGTCACCAAATTGAGTAAAACATAGGAAAATAACCGCTCGAATAGTTAAAAAAAAAAGGGTATAAATGACACAGCAAATACAAAAGGACGCACGGATGGACAAACTCGAAGAATATTGTAACGGATTGCAATTAAGGTTTTTGGAAACTTGTTACTATATTTCCTTTATGCTTGTAACGATATATTAAGCCTGGTTGTATTTGTTTTACACAAAGCTGTCATTCACAAGTTATTTCTTTCTTAAGTATAATTAAGTTTCATAGCGAAAAAGGAAGCGTAACTGGCACTATGAACAAAATGAGCAAGACAACAGTGAAGGCACGAAACAGGCACGAAAATTTATCGTCATGGATGACAACAAACCATCTTATTAAAAAATTTATACTATTTATAATAACGAGACAGTCACAAAAACATATAAGAGGACTTTTGAAAAGATTTCTATGGCCTTGTATTTTTCATAACATAATTATACCAATAATTATATATGTAAACCGAATTCTTGCAGAGTATTTCCTGGAGTGATTTTATTTTTATCGTTGTAAATTCCAAAATAGTCCCTGTGGCAAAATTTGATATAATTTGTGGGAGGCGCCTGAGCACCAAAATATTACACCAATCCAAAATCAAGCGTGGTAATCCATCATTTTTTTTTTCATTTTAATTAATCCTTTTGGCACAAAAATTAACATAGACAAAGAATAAGCAAATTCTCAATTTTGGAAATAATAGGGAAAATGTCGTCTGAAAACATAATTTTTACTTTGGGTTTGGTAACCATAAAAGTTGCTTACCACAATGGCTTTTTGTGTTCTCAGGAGCCCATCAAATGGAGCCTCCATCTCCCATACATGCCCTTGGAGTCAACCCTTTGCCGAGTAGATTTATAATTAGAACGGTTCCCAGAGGAGACTTTGCGCGCAGAAAGTGGTAAGAGCCAATCACAACGACGAAATGACAGGGATATTGTACATCATCAAACAACAGGAAATTCCATGTTGACAGGCCAAACACAATCATAAGCTAGTGAAACGTGACTTTAGCGTTTTTATCCCTCCGAGATTTTCGTTCTCTTCTTTCTAGCGGGTAGATTTTACTGTGGAGAGGTTCTGACTACGTTAATCTTAATTTTGGCTGCCTATCTCACATTAAGAGACCATGAAGCTGGTCTGTTCCATGCATAATGATTAACTACTTCCTGCAGTCTGTAGTTCTGACAGGATTCGGTTTTTTAGCCAATTTTTTTAAGCGTTAAGGTTCTTATTTCGGCTAAATGACTCAATATTAATCAAATTTCTAGTTTTTCAAGGTTTTTTTCCGAAATGCGTTTATCTGAATAAATACTTGTAGTCCTTGTGGTTGTTTTGTCCGTCAGCTAGTGTGATGATTCTCTGCTATGTTTTGTAACGCCGGGCCCGGCGATTTTTACATTGTTTTCTGGCGAAAAGTGCTCTACAGATGCGAATTCGAGGAAAGAATGGAGCTTAAACTTCTTCATTAACCGCTGAGAATTGTCCTGTTAGTCAGTCATAATTCTTTTGTCGCAGATACCATCCGT